TGACTTCTTGTAAAACCATGAGCACAAGGAGAGTACACTCCAGACTTACCTTCTGAGCCCATATTATCCTAATGAAGAACTCCTACTGAATGTTCGATATACATAATCCCGCCAAATAAATAACATCTCTTCTGCTCCAAACGCTAACAGGAGCAGTACGGCATCCCGAATCTACTGCTAAACCAGATGACTTAATCGCAAATCGTAAATCGTAAAAGTCATATATTTACTACTACTGTGCCAGAGTGCCTATACCCCCACACCCCCACCTTAGACTTCACGTGCCTAGGCATTTTTGCGTGGACACCCTAACTGCCTATTCCCTCACTGTCGTATCCTTACTCTCGTACCCTCCCTCGCTATCGCACTCTCCATCGCTATCGTACCCTTACTATTGTATAAGGGCTGTGCCCTAGTAAGTCGTTCAGAAGAGAGAGAGAGAGAGAGTAGCAGAGGGGACAGAAGCGGAGAAATATTTTCGTGCGTGTCGCTTATCCCTAGCCCCGAATACTACCTTCCTAAAACAGCTAGGCTAGCACGTGTTGCGCTAACAATTGTTTACTACTTGCCTATCCTCTCTCCCTCTCCTAGTTTCTCTCTTTCTTCTAGGTTTACAACAACTCTTTACGACTACGATAGCGATAGTAATAGCGATAATCAGAAGGGATAGGGGGTATTTGTTTGCCCAGGAGGGAAGGGGCGGGGAGGGGGGCGTTATTACAAAACCTTCAGCTACCAGAGCGGGGGTATCTAATAGGAGGGTAGAGTTGAAGGAGCGTTCGAGTTATCTTAGAGGGGCAGGAGCGTTTAGGATAAATTCGAGGGTAGGAGTATTCGAGTTAAATTTAAGCTCGTTTACTTATATCAAGTAGTTTCACCTTTAATTCTAGCGCTGGTATATAACTCTAACCATGAGCTACTTTGCGAGTTCCTATAAAATAACCTTAAAAGTAACTTTTGCGATTTGCGATTTACGATTTAGTCATCTGGTTTAGTAGTAGATTCGGGATGCCGTAAGCAGAGAACCTTCCGCCACTACTAATGCCGAAAGCGAAAAAGTTACTCCCATGTACCTTTTGGTCTACCAAATGATTGATCACGATGAAATCCTTTCATTACCCATCTTACCTTGTTGGTTTGACTTATCGTCAATAAAGTGTGATGCAAAAGACCTATATTACTAAGGGTAATAACTAAGTCTCAGGTTGCATTGTCCGAGCAAGTGTAGCTAGCTAAGTGCCTACGTACTTATAGATGCCATAGTACGCTAGTGGAGCACGCTAGTCCCGAAGGAGCAGCTACGCTCAGAGATAGCTAATAATCATTCGCTATTATAAAGCGACAAATCTATTTCCCTTGTTCCAGTTCCAAACGGACTATAATGCTTTTGATTGAACTCCTACCCAGTTCTACATTCACAGTGTATCAACAAAGTTAATTCTTTGGTTCAAAAGCTCTCTCAAGCTCCTCCCATTATGTTATCTGACCGTTCTCCAGCGTTCCTCAACTTCCCGCTTCTTCGTTGCCTTTCTTTTATTCGCCTTAGAATGATTTGTACATCTCATACGCTGTACATGTCATTGGTTCTACTACAATGAATTTTGATCGTAAAAGAATGATTACTATTTGGTTCGATTGGTCCAAGGATGAAGAGCGTAACAGGAGAAACACAAACGCAAATCAAGCAGCAGAAAAGCGGAAACATGAGAAATTTCAAGATGTATAAAGCGTCTCTTAGGAAAGAATACTTGGCGAAGATGTGAGTAAAATGCTCTGATTCATTGTTATAGCTAACGCAGACTGTGAATAAATATAAGTAGTTAAAAACAAAGCTAGATAGCATAAGCTTATTCCATCCAGATAGTTATTCCTTTTTTTTTGGTAGCGATAACAAGACAGGTTTGGCCTATATGTATTAAACATTTGCTTCCAAGATAGAGATTCTACCTCTTCCGTAGGCTTCTACCAAACTAGAGGTTCAAAAACTCTAGAACTTCGTGTATCCCGAATCTTAGCTCCGGGGCTTGATTACACTACCTACCAAAAAAGGGAGTCCCCCTAACCCTCCGACACTTACAAACCCTCCAACAATTGAAATCGCAATCCCAACCAGGGCCAAACCTCCGCCAGGAAGAACAAAAAAGCAGATTATGATCACTACGAGGGTCGAACTCGCGACCTTGGCGTATCAGGGTTATCCCAAATATTAGCACCACGCTCTAACCAACTGAGCTAAGCGATCGTTGATTATTACTTTGATGTGTATCGCTGACATCTGTTCAGACATGTATTACCTAAATAGTTTTTTGTGGGGTTCACGTGAAAAGATGGGGGTTTGGGCTGATTTTGGGGGCTTTCATTGGTTGGTAGGTTGATGGGAGGCGAGGATTAACCGAGGAACGTGAGAAATTGAGGATTGGATTTAGAGGAGAAGTAGTTGACTTAGTTATTCCTTTTGATTAAAGTTATATAGGAGTTGTAAATCTAATTTAGATATATATTTCTAGTTGGTTATAGTTTGGGATATAGTAGGATTGTTATTTTGAAATTAGTAGAAGCTTATACGAGTAATAGAGTAATAATTATCGTTATTCTACTAACTTATAGGTAAAAGAATTAACCCTATAACTTATCTTTCTTGTTCTAATTACGCCGCTAAACATACGGAGATTCATCACTTCGCTATCTATTCCGATTAGGACTGTTAATTTAGATCTAATTCAAATAAATTAGAAATAATTAGTAAATTAGGCGTTTAGAGGGAAATAAATTAGATATAATTTAGATGAGTCACGTGACTCCGGAATCGGAATATCCAAATAGTCCGGGGGCGCCGCGAGCTAGCAAACTAATCTTTATTTATATAAACTAGCACGTATTAGACTAGAATCTGGCTTTTCTTAACTTCTCCGATGTTATGTAACGAATACTCAAACTGGCTAACTAAACTTGGCTGGGTGTTCGCTGGTTGGTATGCTATGATAAGAAGAAGACTATCGGGTTGTTCACTTGGAAGTGAACTCGTTACTTGTATCAAAGATGTCAAACTAATATGATAAGATTGATAACTAAGTTGAGCACGAAGCTCCTATCTAATGGCAGACGTGCCAGTATTATATAGAACCCTCGTTCCCATAGTCGCCATGGTCGAACAGTCGCCCATGGCCGACACGGTCGACCGCTTCGGCCATGTCGCTGGTCACGTGATTCCAACCCAAGGAAATCCCTGGATCGCTTAGCTAGCCCAAACGATCCCTTATTTGCTATAAGTCTATAGATGTGCTTGACCTGTCAGGACGCCGCCTGGTCTTCACTTATCACGTGTGCACGTGATTCGTGACATGTTACCGAGGAAAGACTTATTAAACTCGAGCGAACTTTTATATAAATAGAGAAGAAGAGATTAATAGTATAAGTAACGAGGACAAGGACGAGGACCAGGAAGATTAGTTATACTAATAATCCTGTTAATTAAGCACATATTTACATATGATTCTTATAGTTTTTACTGTGAAATTGATCTACTTTTACCCCTTTATTTACCCTAGACTTTATACCAAGATCTAAATTTAGAGGCTAAATCTTTATTTAGGCTAATTTATGGGGTTTTAGTTATTTATAATTTATCTAAATTTACCATTAACAACCCTAATTCCGATCTTAAAAATGGGTCTCTCATAAGGAAGTAATCTACGAAAAGCCTACATTCAAACCACTAACTATACAGGCAAGCCGGAATTCCAACAACTCTCTATGTTAAAAACACCTAAAAGAAGACAATGTAAACATATAGAGCACTATAGCAAATACAGAATCACTAACGAGGCATATTTCATACTAAAACACACTTAGAAAAAAAAGGTTCAAAATATGAGAGCCAGCGCACATGTGATATCCAAATCACCATAAAGAAACCCAATTTTTGGCGAGCTTCTATATCTTATAGTACAACGAAGACAGGTAAATCTTAAAATTTATAGTAGGTAGAAACATACGTGATTGACACCAGCAAGGAGTATAGGAGTCTAACAAGTTCCCGAGGAAAACTGGTTAGAAGAACTACATCCTATCACTTTTATCTGCAATATCCCGCACCTTCGAGTTTGGAAGGGATAGATGAAACAAGCACTAACTCACCCCCCCCATGTTGACTCCCAGGTCCAAAGGTATAGAAAATGTCATTTAATTCTCTCCACCTCCTCTCCCTGACCAACATTCCTAAACAAGGCCTCACCCATAGCAAACTAACAGCAAACCCACCCCCCAGTAAACTCCATAAACTGTACGTCGCGACATCCAACCAACTTCTCTACCAACCCAACAACCCCCATCCTCTCACCCCTACAATCCTCACCACAAAAATCATCTGCCCCACTCCCCCACTCCCCCCCCCCCCCCTCTCT